TAAGTCATTTTTCATTTGTTTTATAGAGCAAGTAGCAACCCTGCAGGGTGCTTATGTATCACAGCATGTTCGTTAGTGCCATAGGGATTTTGTACGGTGTGATTTTGATTAGGTGGGATTGCTTTAGAGTTTCACGATTGTTGGTGTTTCTTCGGTACCTACTATACACAGAGAAGCGATGTACAATCTCCAAGCGAAAGCTGACTATCGATCTGTGAAGATTATTGCGTGTAGTCAGTTAATGTGGCTCATGATTGTTGTCTTATTTTGCTGATGATCTTTATTACAATTACTCAGACGAATACTTATACTTTGGTCCACTAGTGTTTTACTAACTGACGCACTACAATATTGACTTTAATTGTATTCGCTACTTTGTTCGAGATAAAGTAGAAACTTTGTTTTCCCTTTCACGTTTTTACCAAAGAGCAATTACTTGCGCACATTTGTATTAATTAACTTGGTGGCTGATTTCGAAACATTTGTCCTAAAAACGAAAAAAACTTTAGCCTTTTGGTCGTTGATGTATATATATATATAGATTGTTGTTAGCTTTATAACACCTGTTTTTCTTCTTCTTCTTTTTTCGCCAGTTGTGCGTATCATGTTTTTACTTTGAAATATAAGTTGTTAATTGTTGACAAAGAAAAAATGTAAATTTTCAAAATATAGACAAATTAAAATGGAATATTCTTTATGATTTGTTGTCATTTTATGTTAAGACATGCATTTTTGACAAAGTAATTTATACTCATAGATGACTAAAAAGTAGTGATTGAAATTTGGTTCCTATGTTTATCAAATGAAGTAATTAAAGTGGATTTTTGAAACGTTAAGCAAAAGAAAACGATTTTTACAGCCTTTTTAGAACTTGAACCTTTTGCTTACAGATTTTAACAATGTTCAAAAAATCGTTAGACGATGGCTAGGCGGGTGATAGGAGACTAGCGTCTAGGAGGATTAATCGGAGACTAGGCGGAGTCTAGGAGTTAGCAAAATTTTTGTTAATTTTTATAAATTTTCTATCTATATATCATATTTTAAAAAAAGTTTTAATTTTTTTCTTAAAAATTATTTTATCAAAATTTATGTTTGAATAAAAAAGTAAACAAAAAATTGATAAATAAAATTATAAAATAAAGTTCAACAAAGAAATCAAACTAAAAATCATCAAATTCTTCAAACTAAAATAAGTTTTAATCTAAAAACTTTAAAAATGTAAAGCAAAAAGAAATTTATCTAACTTATTCTTCAAACACATCCATATCAACCACCTGCTTATTTTCAGACTCAAATTCAAGACCAAAATCAATAGCTATATCATTTTCATCGTCGGAATCGATATCTCCTCTAGGCTCATCGTTAAAATTAAAAGTTGAAACTTGAAACAGAACACAAACAAAGTAAACACAGATGAAAAGACAAATTAAGAGAATACAATATAATTATATAATATATACAGATAGATAAAGAGAAGACTAAACAAACTTGTAGAGTTCAGCAATCGCCTCTTGTAGTTTATGAAGGTGAAATAGTGGGGAGGAACGAGGATGATTATATTAAGTTATTAACCCTAATCCACATTTCAAATCTTTTTTTTTCTGTACACCGATGTTGGTTTACTATCCAAAACCGTAAAAATTGACTAAAAAATGATAAAAATAATTAGTCTGATTTGACCGATTTTATCGATTTGGTCCGATTTTTTTTTATTTTTTCCGATTTGATCCGATTTTTTACTAAACCGGATTTGCTTCACTGATTTTATGAAAATTGGGTCGGCTAATCCCGACTAGCAGCTTAGACGGCCATCTAGTCACCGACTTGACCGATTTTTGAACAGTGGATTTTAATGAGACAAATGACAGAATACTTTTAAGGTTGAAATGAAATCTTCCTATATCCGTTCATTATTTACGCTTCAGATGACAAAATACTTTAAGGTTGAAATGAAATCTTCCTTCGAAGCTGAGATATGCGAAGAAAAGGGCATTATCAAAACTCTAAAAGTTCAATCTTTAATGAGACATAAAAGAGTCGTCGATTTTGCAAAAAATAAAAATAGAAGTGGAAACTGGGATGAAGAAGGCATAGATTACGGGTTATGACTTTAGGTGAAAAAGGAGGTGATGTAGTGCACGTGTGCTCCCAAAACCTCATCATCACAGTGTCATGTGCAAAATCAAAATAATACCCACTTTCATTATTAATCGCACCAAAAAATATTTAAACCGTTGTAAATAAATTGTTTCCATCATTCTACTCTCATCATTTCACTTCCTCTCATCATACCTTCCATGTATTTGACTATTTTCTTCTCTCAACTTAGTATTTCTTGTGCTAGCAGATAATCATAGAACCTTTTTCAATCCATATCACTTTTGAGAATTTAATTTTACAAATGACACCAAGGGTATAGAAATTAGCTTTTTATGTTTTTTGAACCTTAAATTAGCTATTTTCTTATAGTACTCAAATTCTTATAGTACTACAAGCATGTTCGGTTTTTATTAAGAACCTTCACTTAATAACATGTTTGTGTTTTTTTTCCTGTCAAATAACAGGCTTGTACTAACATTCCAAAGTTTTCAATAAACAAGTTTAAACTGATGAAAATTCGACTTATTTATTTATTTTATTATTATACTTCAAATTGACAAGAACATATATTTTGAATATCATCATTGTGTTAACATCCAAATTTAAACATATACTCCATCTGTTCAGAATTATTTGATGTTTAAGGTTTTTGCACATAGTTTAAGGATTCATTTAATTTTTATTTTTCCTATACTAAAAATATTATTTATAATTCATTTAAATATCATTCAGCCAATAAGAGTACAATCTGCAGAATATAAAAAGTCAAAAACTATAAAAATTCATTAAATTTTGCATTGAAAAGTGAGAACATCAAATAATTTTGAACAAAAAAACCTTCTAAAACATCAAATAATTCTGAACAGAGGGAGTATATAAAATATTGTTGAGAAGAAAACACAGTTCAAATTTACGAAATATTTTTTTTCTTTTTTGTTTTGTTTTTCATCATGCATTATAAAAAATCGTTTTGTTTTTCACACTCACATAGTTAAAAATATTTTTTTTTGGAACACTTACAAACAAATTATAAAAACAAGTACAAATTCTTTTTTTTTGGGGGCAACCAAAACAAGTACAAATTCAATTTAAGAATATTTAATGAAGGAAAAAAACAACATTATTAAGACGACCCAAAGCAAAGGTCAAAATGATTTATATGGCATAAAGTAAGAAGCATTAATTAACTTTATAGTGTCGCTTTTCTTTTTCTTACTTTAATTTTCTGGATTTATTAACAAGACCCAAAACAAAGGTCAAAATAGTCGCAAATCTCAAAGCCTTCCCAATCTCTTCTTCACACAATCTCTCTCTCGTCAACACCACTAACACTTCCACTGATTCATCATCTTCTGCTCATCAGAAGAAACTTTTCTCTCGTTGATTCCATACTTCCAATTTTATCCCTGCGTTTTCTTTCTTGTGTTGTTACTCCTTTGGACTCTTACTGTTTCTAGGTTCACTCAATCCAAATAATGGGAAGTAAATGGAGGAAGATGAAACTGGCTTTAGGTCTGAATCTCTGCACATACCTCCCACGAACCCTAGAGGAACCTCCCGCTGCTCTGAATTCCACAGAGAGATTATCAGATGCTGCTCTGCTCTCTCCTCTTAATTGGCCCATGACCCCAACACCCTCCTCTCACGGTCTCAAATTATCCAGAAACAGCTCTAAATCTTCCAAGGTTTGCACTTTTACAAGACCCACAATCTCAATCTTGTCTCCACTGCCTGTATTTGGTTCTGTGTATATGAGTTGACTTGGGATATGAGTTTGTCTTCTTCTTGTTCTTGTTTCTTCTTCTTATCTTAATTTAAAAATCACTGAAGTTACTGCAGGTATTTTTAAATTTTTTTGTTTCTTGTGCAAGTGAAATTATGGAATCTTGAATTTTGTACTCTCTGTTGGTGGTGCTCAGAGATCTTGAACCATTGAATTTCAGAAATCCTAAGAAAAACCATCAGATCTTTTCAACACTTTTGTTTGTAGCTCTGACAAAGGGGAAAGTTGTTTCTTTTTCTATATCTAGCTACTTAAATGTGCTAAATTTCGGTTTTAAACTTGGAGAGTGTGTTTCTTGATACCGTATATTGACTTAAAAATTGAGTATTCTGATAAATTTGACTCACACATGTTTGCTTATTGCTTTTTCTTTTTGATGAGCAGACATGTTCTATATGCTTGACTAAGATGAAAGATGGAGGAGGGCATGCGATTTTCACAGCTGAGTGCTCGCATTCGTTTCATTTTCACTGCATTGCTTCAAATGTGAAACATGGAAACCAAGTTTGCCCAGTGTGCCGTGCAAATTGGAAGGAAATCCCAATGCAGCACCCAAGTTTTGATCTTCCTTACCTGTTTGCTCGAACTTATAACAATGATGCAGCTATTGGCCTTGCCCACCGTTTACCAACGCCTCGTCGAGTTATGAATCAAGGACGAGTTCTGGCTCCTGAGCCTTCTATGTTTAATGATGATGAGCGGTTAGAGCAGCAGCTCGTATTTTCCGGGAAGAGTTATGGTGATGCTTTGGAGAACAATCATCCTGTACGAATGATGGACTTGAAAATATATCCTGAGGTTTCAGCTGTCCCAAGAGCTGAGTCTCGTGAGAAGTTTGCTGTATTGGTGCATCTCAAAGCTGCTGCCATGGTTACTGGAAATGCAAACTCCCTCAACAATGAGATTTCTCGGTATCCTCGAGCTCCAGTTGATCTTGTCACGGTGCTTGACATCAGTGGTAGCATGGCGGGAACTAAACTGGCTCTTCTGAAACGAGCAATGGGATTCGTGATTCAGAACCTTGGCTCTAACGACAGGCTTTCAGTTATTGCTTTCTCTTCGACTGCTCGTCGTCTATTCCCTTTGACCAAGATGTCTGATGCTGGAAGACACCGAGCCCTTCAGGCTGTGAATTCATTGGTTGCAAATGGTGGGACAAACATCGCTGAAGGTCTTAGGAAAGGTGTCAAGGTGATGGAAGAACGAAGAGATCAAAACCCTGTTGCTAGCATTATCCTTTTGTCTGACGGGAGAGATACCTATACCATGAACCAACCTGATCCAAACTACAAGTTGTTACTTCCCTTGTCTATGCACGGTTGTGAGAGCAAGCGGTTTCAGATCCCGGTTCATTCTTTTGGTTTCGGATCAGATCATGATGCTTCACTGATGCATTCTGTTTCTGAAACCTCTGGTGGAACTTTCTCTTTCATCGAGAGCGAGTCTGTGATCCAGGATGCTCTTGCACAGTGCATTGGTGGGCTTTTAAGCGTTGCGGTACAAGAGCTACGGCTAGAAATCGATGGTATGTGCACAGATGTTCATCTTAGCTCGATCAAAGCTGGGAGTTACCCGAGCCTTGTTAATGGTGATGGTCGGTCAGGATGTGTCGAGATTGGTGATCTTTACGCTGATGAAGAGCGTGATTTCTTGGTTTCTATCAACATCCCAGCTCAGAGAGCTGGAAACGAGTCACAGCTTCTGAAAATGAGATGTGTCTACAAAGATCTTTTGACAAAGGAGATTGTGACGCTTCAAAGTCATGTGCTTAAGATTCAAAGACCAGAAACCGTTGGTCAAGAAGTTGTTGTGTCCATCGAAGTGGACAGGCAAAGAAACAGGTTCTTAGCCGCGGAGGCAATGGTAAAGGCGAGAACTTTAGCAGAGGGAGAAGATTTAGCCGCGGCTGTTACCGTTATCCAGGATTTTAGACAGGTTCTGGCAGAGACGGTCTCAGCAAAATCAAACGACGGGTTTTGTGTCGCTTTGGACAGAGAGCTCAAGGAAATGCAAGAAAGAATGGCGAGTAGGCATGTCTACGAGGTATCGGGAAGAGCTTACATTCTCTCTGGACTTAGTTCACACTCATGGCAAAGAGCAACATCGAGAGGAGAATCAGGAGACGGATCGAGCTTTGTTCAGACTTATTACCAGACTCCATCAATGGTTGAGATGCTACACCGATCTCAAGCCACGTCCTATCATAGACTCATCCAGCCATTGATATCATTTGCATCTCAACCAAAGCCAAGATGAAAAAAAAAATCAGAATCCTATGTCTTAGCTGTAAAAGGTTTCAGCTTTGTTTTTGAATCTCTCACAACTTTTTTTGGTCTCTTTCTGGGTTTGTCTGTAAAGAAATAAGAAGAAAAAAAACAGGCAAAGGGGAGAAAATGTGAATCTAAATGGGTTTAGGGTCTTACGATTTGGTGATTTTCCTGGTTTTGTACGTCGGTGTTTTTTTTTCAAATTCTCATGTAATGTGTGTATATATGTAAGAATTTGGGTATAAAAGCTTTGTTCACAACTTGGAATATACTACAGTATGTAGTTTCAGTATTGGGGGAAAAGTAGTGATAATTTTAGATTTCAATGTTCCTTTGTAATTGTAATTGAGAAAGTGCACAAAAGGAAAGAATCGGTGACAGTTTCTTCTTTTATTTGAAACTTTTGGACATGTATTATGTGCAAGTGTTTCGAGGCCTGATGAACCGCAACAATCTCTTCTCGACATGCGGCCACTTATCTAATTTGGGTTTGGTTTAGGATCCTTTAGCCGGCCTATATTCATTTTTATCTTATACAAATCTCAATCATCTTATACATAAATTTTTACATTGTATTATAGTCAGTCTCAAATATGTGTGTGGATACACCGGTCATCTTAGAACCTGTCTATATTCATTAGTTAAAATCATTAATGATGACTCTAAAGACATAATCATAAAAAGAAATTAGTATTCGTTAAAAACATTTAAAAAAAAAATTGGTAGTCCTAACCACTGGCTTAGCTCGTTTGTCAGTTCGGATGGTCCGAATCACTGGCTAAGCTCGTTTGTCCATTCGGGCGGATCTAGATACACCTAACTCTTTTACAACCAACTTAACATTTATTGAGAACACTTGTACAGACTCCACATAAGTGATTAAACACCAAACAGTACGAGACTATTTATATCTGCCGTCTATTTATGTCGCACCATAACTTTCGAATATTTTCAACAATTTCTTTTTTTTTTCTAAATAAAATTTATATTAATCAACCCCAACCGGAAAATTAGTATTTAAAAATTTGAACCAAACACAAAAACACCGGCTAAACCGGGGAGTTTGGTCCCATATCACCAAACAACCATTAACCGCCAATAACTCTAATCATAACACTCAATCCGGTTAAAGAGAGAAACGACGACAAACCGGCAAATGTGGGAAAAAATCCAACGAACTCCACCGCTAATTTGGTAGTTCTAATCGGGTTCAAGACCAGGGAGACACTAAACTTAATTAACTTAAGTAGTAACATAATAATACATGATTTCGCTATGACATACAAGTACAAATTTTTGCGCGCATTTCTGTATATATACACTAGATTAGGAAATATTTGTTATTAAACCAATTAATATGCATTTGTGAAAAGAAAAAAAACAACTAATATGCATAATGCTTCTAAAATGTGGTTTTTTGTTGTTGTTGTTGATGTTGTTTCATCCACACGACGTGCAAAAACACATTACTATATGTAAATTTGGATTATGTCACGAATTCGTGACAGTAAAATAAAAATAAAAATTACAATATACAATATATAGTCAACATCAACGGTGCGTAGTGGATACACCTAACTTCTTCTACAACTAACTTAAAATAACTATTTCAAGAAAGAAAAACATTTATTGTGAACTTATTAATCAGATTCCACAAAAGTGAGTGTACGCCAAATAGATATATGACTCTGTTTAAATGAAAGTTTCCGTGGCCAATTTAGATCCCCAGATTGATATCCAGCAGGGATCTACGATTGCGACATATTTGCCGGTTCAACTGCGACATCTTTGCCGGTTCAGTCATCATGTTTATAAAAAAATTTGGTTTGTTCGTAATTGTAATATTCTTTTCGCATTTTTAGTAATTAACATGATTTCTTTTCTTTTCTTTTTTAAGTAGATTATTCAATTGGTTAAAAGACGACAGAAGTCAGTTAATGCGCCCCATTTAATATCAACATAAACGCGATAAAACGCAATTTATTTCACACGTGACAGGTCCAGTTTATAGATGGATCGAGACAAAGTTTGCATAACTGAATGGCACCAACCTCGACAACAGATTGTCTGTGTCGGTAGAGTCACCAGCCTCGACTAGAAGGTGACCTCCTTTCATGATATGGGACTCTTATTCGTTCACAGTTTTACCAGAATCGCAGAGACAATAACCATATAATTTCAACTCTATTAATTTTTTCATTTCTTTGATATATACTATTTTGATAATGAAAGAACTCTTACAAATTTTTGTTTCTATAATCTAGTCAAAATAGTGTGTAGTTAAAAAATAATGTATATGTATACTATATAGTAGTTATTAAAATACCCCTCGATTTCGCGGGATTCAAGTCCTAATAGTAATAGTAATGCGATAAATGCGAAACTAAATTCCAAAAGACGTAAGAAATGTCACATAAATAAATATCAAAAATCTACTATCGTTCTACCAACACCATATTTAATCAAGAAGTACTATAAGAGCGATGTGTGGCTAAAGGCAAGTATGAGAATAATCAGAGCATAACTTTAAAATAGAGAGATAAGACATGGCGAGAATAGCAATGAAGCCGCTTAGCCCTGTGTCCCAGCTGTTCCTTTCGCCGGGTTTCTACGGCGTCATTGTTTTTACTTTAGGGTTTAAAACTAGATGCGACCCATCCGCCATTGTTGAAGGTATCACGAACACATGGATCAAGCTCCCCCGCTTCTCTAGCAAAGTGGTAAACACATAATATGATCTTACATATGCTTAATTGTCACATTTTTTATTTAGTCACCAAATTCAAACGATGTACTTTACAAATATCTAACCATTTCAATGTGTATATATACAGAATATCTTGCTTTGCTGGGAGATTTCATTGATATAAAAATATCTATATTCCATCAAAACATTCTCATTTATAGTATATAATTGTTTTAGGTTCCCACATGCTCAAAAGTTTCAAACATGCATGTGTATATAATATAACCTATAATCATTTATTAGACATGTAAGAAAAAAAATCATTTTTTGACTATAAATAAATGTTTCAGGAGATTGATGATAAATAAATGTTTCAGGAGACCGATGATAAGAAAAATGGAGAAGCGGTTTGGGTTCCTGTTAGTGTTCGAGTAGAGGATCATGTTATAGTTCCCGACCTAGATCATTCCAACATTGACAATCCTGATCAATTTATAGAAGACTATACGTCAAACTTAGCTAATACTCCAATGGACATGACCAGACCTTTATGGGAATTTCATGTATTGAATATAAAGACATCAAATGCAGAATCTTTAGGTATAGGGAAATTCCATCATTCACTTGGCGATGGTATGTCGCTTATGTCTCTTCTATACGCTAGTTCACGAAAAATATCAGACCCCGAGGCTCTTCCTACTACTGCGGCTACAAGAAAACATGTTGAATCCAATAGTAATTGGTGGTTGGTGGGGAGACTTTGGTTGATGATAAGAATCATTTTCACAACTATTATTGATTTGTTCAAGATGTCGCTTACTCTATGTTTTATGCGGGATACTAAAAATCCTCTCATGGGTAAACCGGGAGATAGAATTCGACCTAGAAAGGTTATCCAGCGAATAATTAGTTTTGATGATGTCAAGTTCGTGAAGAAAACACTGAAAATGGTAGGTATCTATATATATATTGATATTTATCATCATTTTTCTTTATATTGATCGTTAGTTTCGTTTTCTACTTAATAATTTATGTCTTTTTGTAGAAAGTGAATGATGTTCTTCTTGGAATGACACAGGCAGGTCTCTCAAGATATTTGAGTAAAACATATGGTAATTTCAGTTTTCTTCTCCTTTTATTATAGGGTTACCGTAGTTCCAATATCTTTATGTATTAGTTGTAAAGAATAATCTTTTTTTTTTTAAAATGAAGGAATATGAATTATATCTGGCTACTAAAATTATACCAATAAACAATTTTTGACAGACAAATATATCAGTATACATCAATAATATTTGTTTCATTCATCGCACGAGATACTACATGCAGCATTATTTTTATAGTTATTTTCTTATGTCAAAGTATTATTGTAATTTTTCATTAATATTATATATTTGATATTTTTGCAAAAAGGTGAAGAGCCAGTGGTCGGGAAGAAAACAATCTTAGAAAAAATCCGTCTTCGTGGCACAGTAGCTGTAAATCTAAGACCACATACAAAGATCGAGGTAAAATCAATATAACCATTAGCTTAAAAATTATCTTACAATTTAAAGAAGTTTCGTTTCTTTACAAAAAAAAATTATCTTACAATTTTTAAAAAAAATTAGAATTCAAGAACTTAATAAAATATGAAATTGTAGGATCTCGCTGATATGATGACAAAAGGTTCAAAATGTAGATGGGGAAATTTCATAGGTGTTGTTATGTTTCCTTTATGGATAAGATCTGAAGATGATCCCTTGGATTACGTCCGAAGAGCTAAAGCTACTATGGATAAGAAAAAAATATCCATGGAAGCACTTGTTTCGTATGGATTCATCAAATTTCTCATGAAAGTATTTGGGCAAAAGGTAAAATATATAATGAATAACAAGTATTTGTTAATCCATATGTATACATACGTATATACAAGTTATATAATTTATTAAAAACAGGTAGTAGATACTGTTTCTACGAGGATGTTTGGTCATACAACATTGACATTTTCAAATGTGTTGGGTCCATGTGAAGAAATAAGCTTTTTTAAGCATCCGATGAGTTACGTCGGAGCAAGCGCATTGATTGGACCACAAGTAAGTATAGCTATATTCATGCCATAAACTTAGTATATCGAATCTGTTGTTTTTCTTTTCAAAATCATATAAAACTTTTTATGACACTAATTGATATGCATATGTTTATGTTTGTTTGTTGGACTAGGCACTTATCATCCATTTTGTAAGCTACGTAGACAAGATTATCATCAATCTAGCTGTCGACACAACAGTGATTCCAAACCCACATCTACTCTGTGATGATTTGGTAGAATCGCTCAATATCATCAAACTTGCTGTCGTGGAGAAAGGACTTCATAAAATGGAGGTTTGAGACATGTATCATCACTCGATGTAACAAAAATTGAAGTTTTATGTTCAAAAGATAAAATTTGGTGGAATGTAGTAATATGTACTATATTAGCTTGGTTTGATCTCAATATTGGTTTATAAGTTTTCAAATTTGGTAGTATACAATAGAAGAGAGCATTAATTCATATCCAGACGAACAAAACGTAGACCACAATCACCACTAACATATTTACATGATCAGAGCTATTTCATCAACGAACGGAAATTCGATTTACCTTTTTCGTCGAACTTAGCGGAACTGTTCAAGGGCTTGTGTATTGTTGTTGTTCAAGAGCTTCATCATGAAGTTAAACCTGGAGTCTGGAGATGTCTTTGGTTGTGGCCAATTCGCTCCTTTGGGGATCTTGATGCATCTGAAACCTTGATCTTTGTAAAGTTTGGTGGCTCCTGAGTTGTTGAGATCACAGTGAAGGCCAATAGCTCGACATCCCCAGTTCTTGGCTAAAGCCTCTGCTTTCCAAATGAGTCTCTTTGCTATTCCCTTGCGCCGGAAACTCTCTCGAACCGCCACGTTTGATATGTAAGCAATCCCCGTCCTGGCTTTGAATCAGTAACACACCATCAAATCATTGTAAGACAAAATACAGATCCAAGCACAACACATTCTGGAAGAAACGACAAGATCCTTGGTTGAAACAACCAAAAGTATGAACAACACCAAGTCAGCAAAAGTTTAGTTGCACAACCTGAGACTTTGTTTCTTAGTCTTAAGAACAGAGACACACAGGGCTTGACAATAGAAATGAAAGATAAGAGAAAACGCAAACCTTCTCTGGCGGAGAGGTCCTTTCCTTGGAAGGTAATCCGCCACGGTATCTACAGTCAAGATTCCAGCTACATAACCTTTGTTTAGACTGATCTTTGCACCAAAAGCTCCAATCTTGAAATCTTCACTACCAATGCAGATGGTTTCATCTACTGAGCTACCAATCACAGCGACTAAACAAGTCCTCTGGCACCCTGCTGGAACAGAAAACCCCATTACCATCGCCATTAACCTATCTACTCTCAGGACAACATCAAGCGGGAATGAATATCCAGGGAAGAAGGAGCTGCAGTGAGTCTCTGCCACTTCCCAGCAATCCTCCAATCTTGCTTCCCGTACAACGATTTCAGGTGAAACCGCTGGAAAAAGATCAACTATTTGACTTGCATTGCATGCTCCTATATACAAACATAAGAGAAAAAAAACAAAATTTCATCAAAGAACAATAACTATATCATCCACTGATGAACCAAAGCATGTCGTCTCTTTGCTTCTGTGACCAAAAACTTAAGCCCCATGAGAGCACTAAACTCATTCAAATCTATGATTCCTCAAAGACTTAATGTGTCTAAGGTTTAAAAATTACATCAAAACAGTTCCTTTGCTAAAATCTCGCGAAATTCCAAAAATTATCAGCTTCCTGAAAGAGAAACAAGCTAAAAATTGACTGACTACAATCAATTGCTTCGCTCTCTACATTACGTCGGGGACAGAATCGATCGGGGATGATAAACAAGCCAAACAAATCGCTAATTACTCAACAAAGACCACTAATTGAATGATTAACTAGTGGGTAATGACTAGAACTCGATCAAAATCAAATCCCGTAAATCAATAGTCTCTAGAACTGTGTCTAATAGCGAACACCAGATTATTGATCATCATGCCTTTAAGAATCAGATTGCAAACCTGATCTGAAAGACGGAGTGGGAGAAACAGAAACCCTGGGCGAGAGAAGGAAAAGAGACGACAACTGGCGTCTCCGACGATGGAGAGAGAAGTGAGAGACTCCTGAAGAGGAGAAGACGCTTCCATAGCAGTTCTTCTGCTTGACTGAAGCTGGTGAAATCGCCGTCGTCCCCAACGGTGTGCTCCGCATTTCTCTCTCTCCGCCGTTCGACGCACTATTCCCCAACCCAGACTGGCAAAAATAGACCGGACGGTTCAAACCGGTCAAATCGTAACTAAGAAATCAATATCTTCTTCTTCCTAGTCAAAAAATGTTTTTATTAATTATTCGATTTAGAGGGAAAAAAACAAAAACTCGCTCTCTCTCTTCCACCAATTCACACGTTTCTTTACAAAGTTCCACTGAAGTGGACTGTTTAAATTAAAAATTAAACTAGAGAAATCATAATATCATCACCATATACCACCATCAATTTGTCATCAAGTATCACCAATTCACCATCAACATCCTTTATCATACCATCAATCTAGCAACATACTTATCATCATATCATACCACCATCGCCATCATCATATCATCATCAAAGCATCAACATTGCACCACCACCACCGGTCCACCACCACCATCATACCATAACCATCATCATCATTCCACAAAATTTCATTTTTTTTTTTTATCTTGAATTTTACAAATTACAAGGATGACTTCCATGTAAGTTACTTTGTGTTTACATTTATTAAGTAGACTTACCACGAAATTCTGTTTTGTATATGTATGGACTTAACAGAGCAAATTTCTACGAAAGTATGTTTTGTTTTTGATTTCTTTTAACGCAAACGATCGTTATGAAGGTCTGCTTTGCATGGAAGATTTATTTTCTATAGATTTTGATAAGTAGACAATCGTGGTAGTCTTCTTTGTAGATTTTCAAAGCACTACCGTGAAAATTGGTTTTGTATATAAACATGATATAAAGTCGACGATTATGAAAGTTTGATTTGTATTTGGATTCTGTTAAACTGACTAGTGACAACCATGGATATCTGCTATGTGTTTAAATTTAGCAAGGCATAACACCGATATGAAAACAGAATAGCATGAATAAGTTTGCTTTGTATTTGAGCAAACTTTTGTGGGAATATATGTTTTGTATTTGGATCTAACAAAGCAGACTATCATGAACATCTACTTTGTGTTTAATATTTCTAAAGCAGACTATGGTAAAAAAAATCTCCTTGTTTTGTATTTATAGTACTTGCGCAAACTTTTGTATATAATTTCAATTTAGCAAAGCTGATTATTGTCAAAGTTTACCTTGTATTTAAAATTTCAAAAACGTACCATGGAAATCATTTTTGTATTCAGAATATCTGAGCAGACTTCCCTAAGAAATTTCAGCTTTTTAGGCATTAATAATTCCGTCTGGAAAAATTTTCAGCGATTTTAGTTATTATGATGATTATTATTTTTTTTTAAAACAAACATGAATTATCATCAACTTCTAGTTACCATATAGACTTTTGTACATATTGGTTGGATTTACAAACTGGTTGGACAGTAGTTTTAGAATATGTTCTAAGCATGCTTAGTAATCTTTAGACTGTATTTATCCCCCAGAGTTCCAAACAAAAAATATTTAGGTTGTAAAAAAAGATTGTCAGGTGCACCTTCCCCACGGTAATCCTATGTTGAACTTGCTTCTACAATAGACATAAGACATTGTAGTATTATACGCTCACACTCAAAAGCACTTGCGAATGCAAAACATCCAAATTTAAAAACGAATCTTACTGTTATTTTTCTCGTTGAACGAATCTCACTTATTCACTTTAAAGTCGACAGTAAAACTTATCATGGCTTTGAATCCCAAACAAAAAACCATTAAATCCATGTCGCTGAAATTTCAAAACTTACATCTTAAAATTATGAGAAACATACAAAAGGGAAATCATAGGAAAGAAATTTCAGAAAAAGTTGATGTGGACAAGTTAGAGATTTCGAAGTTCTAGTCCATTGATATTTTTTGTAAGCCACTGAACCTTTACCCTAAAACAGATAGTGTACAGTCCGACCGAACTGCCAGCTCAATCACGATCCACTAATCTCGCCACGTGTCTCGCCGACATCATAAAAGAGTACTCGACGCCACGTGTACCCTGCTTAGAGGTTTCCGCCAGAGAAGCTTCTCTTCTTCATATTTTCTTTCAAGTGCAGATTTATTTCCGATATTCTTACACGTACGGCTCTCTGTTGTCATAATTAGTTACATTAGTTACTAATTTACTGCTTAAGTTGAGTAAGCTGTTAGTATGGCTAATGGAGAACCGTAAATGAAGGCAAGAACAGCTTTGCCTTTCCAATAAGAGAATCTTTTAATTGGATCTCATTATGGCACAAGTAAATCCGAGGAGAGAGTTACAAGAGATATCATGTTTGGGAATGTTCTTTTTCTCTAATTTTGACATTTTGTCAAACAAATTCGTTGCATTTATTATGTCTATCAGAATGTATTCATACCCTTACTATCTCGAAATTCAGTTGCCAATAGGGTTACAGTAGGAATTTACATTGAGAAACAGTCACTAGCAACTTGTCTATTGTCATAATCCCAATTTCAGTTTTTTTTTTTCCTATTGATGTAGAGTGCATATTCTCTTAGAGGAATCGTAATTTACAAAAAAAAAAGTTTTGGAACAAAAATTAAAGCTGTGTTGTCAACATATCAAGAATACCTTTATGCAGTACAAACCAATCTCTAAGAAAATCGACGAGTAATTAATGAACAATTTTATTCTGTTTTTGTTTTTGACAATATAATGGTCGTCGGTTCGTTTACTATCTAGGAGCAGTGATACATCATCATCTATTGTGGAACTTGACGATCCGCCAAACGCATCGCGTCAAATGTCGTCATATTGTATTTATCTTTGTGTCCAAGCCTACCTGGCCATGGATGGACCTGTCTATGTATAGGGTATTAGATGGGTCTTTCTTCCACATACGCCACGTGAACATTATTTTATTTTGATGGAGGTCGATCGTTAACCAAAAAGACTCACTTTTATGGTCAATTTGGTGGATATTTATTCAGTTATATGGTTTCACATTCTCCATTGTTTAAGATCATTAGTTCCTTCGTATAATATAGTTTTGGATATGAGTTCCACCTATGAGACTTTTGGAATTTGGTAACGCTAGCTCACTATAGTAGATTATAATCCTTAATCCAAACTATTAAATATCTCAATCACCTATATTTCTTATCTAAACAGTGGAAGTTTAACGTCAAAACAAAACTTCAAATAATTTTCAGTTTAGTAAGCAAAAAATGATAAATAAACACGGTAATTCATTTTCATCTCGCAAAATTTGATCCAGTCCAACTATCTGAATTCAATTAAAAAAAATGAAGTCGGTGTCTAATAGCTTCACAGGACTCGAAAAACTCATTATCAGTCAATACTATAATCATTGTCAATAAGAGAAAATTTTAAAATAGCTTTTATCGAGAGAAAAAATTTAAATACATATCAAATTTATCCAATCAGAAAATACTTCAAATTGCAAACTAGATAATCACTATCATACATGACAATTAATAAGAAAATAGATATATAACTGAAGAACATATTGTCGTTGTTGTTTAAGGACATAATCGAAACACATATTGGTCACATAACACAAGTCATTTGCAACCGATCAAATCATCGCAATTTGATTATTGTAAATTGATCAGTTGCAACGCAAGCATTTCGGCACAGTTCTCATTTTCTCTCCATTTTCTTGGGGAGAGGAGCAGCTCGAAAAGTTCTTTCAAAGTGTTGTTAGTTACTGGCCACCTTGAGCATCTCTAAATATGTAGAGAATTTTCATTCGAGAAAGAAAAAAAAAACAAAAAGAAAACTTTAAGGTAAACTTTAAAGAGAACTTAGTACGGGACTTTATAAAAGAAGAATTAAAAATAAAATACTTAATAGGAGATTGGTCGACCACTTTCGTACGTTCGCCCCATTTTGCTGTCATGTCCATTTGTAGCTAATGCTACTCGTCCGGTAATCTGATAATTTGCCTTTCAGATTGTAATAATTATTTTTCCATCATTTGATTTCCCCTGATTCATTTTGGGTTAAAAACTTAAAATATAAACTATATTTGGAGAAGATCATTTGAGCGACGAGTTTTATTTTTAAAATACTGAATTAAATCGATATCTAGGTTTTGCTCACACGTCAAAAAATCTTCAAAGTGAGCACTGCTTTAGTATTAGGTTTTCGTAAACCTCTCGCGGATAAAACGCCTACACCAAAATTCTACCTGTAATCTTTGGAAAAAAGAAAAGAAAAATAAGTTGTCTAGCAATCTATATGGCATGTTTGCATTCAGTAAACTTAAACCCTAGGAGGTAACGGCTTTTATTTTTGGATCGTGGGTAAAGTAACTTAATAGAAAAAAACAAAATATGCTTTAAGCATCAAATAAATCGTGAAAATAATAGTGCTCATTAAAGATTTAAATCGTACGAGTTGTATGTATATTAAATAGCGATCGACCATAGACCAAAAATAGAATACACAACAGGAAAGAGCGAGAGATATAAAGCCATAGATAAAAAGACAATCAGAGCCTCGCATATATATATGCATCCATTTTAGATTAATGGTCTTTTTCCTTTCAACAAAAGACGTTATTTATTAAATAAACAAGTTACAAATTAGCGGTTTGTATATCGGAATAAATTGAAAAATTATTTCTTTAGACAAAAAATAGAGAAGATCAGGGCAAAAGAGGGAAAAACCTGAAGCCACATCTTTCCATAAATATACCCACTCACCATCTATACACATCAGCCACATCCCTTCTCTCTATCTCTCTTTCTCTCGCTCTTCTCTCTTTCTCTCTCCGACTCTGTGGCTAATTAAGTATCTATACACATAAGAAAGAAACAATGACGACGGAGGAGTTGACGGAGGAAGACTCGTTCTCCGGCAGCAAGGACTATCAAGATCCACCGCGTGTGAAGATTTTCGAGGCGAGGGAGCTTGGGAAGTGGTCTTTCTACAGAGCAGTCATCGCTGAGTTCATAGCTACTCTCCTCTTTCTATACGTCACCGTTTTGACAGTCATCGGCTTCAAGAGCCAGACCGATATCAACTCCGGCGGCGGAGCTTGCGCTAGCGTCGGCCTCCTCGGCATTTCTTGGGCCTTTGGTGGCATGATCTTCATCCTCGTCTACTGCACTGCCGGCATCTCTGGTCTCTCTCTCTCTCTCTCACTTCTTCTTCTCTCTTTCCTTATAACCATCTTTTTGCATGATCTCTATGTTTTACATCCATTGTTTTTTTTTCTTAAGATTTTCTATTGTTCATTTCATTTTCTGAGTGATTTCATTATTTTAGCGTAGAACACAAGGACAAAAAAGGTTTATAAGTTTTCACAAATTCCATTCCATGTATTGATTTGCATAGCTAAATGCATATGCTTCATAATTCGAGGCTCCTAACAAAGAAAAAATATGTCAATATTTACTAATAGAACCAAATATAGTAGTCAAATGATTAATGATACACATGTGGTAAGGAAACTTAGCTTTCAACAAAATTTCTATTCCTCACCGGTTTTTAAAGATGTATGTTTTCTTCAATTTTCTAAGTTTAATACATGTTCCATTGATATATAAATTTTAGTTTAATTAATAACGTGAGGTTAGTTTTGATAGTGTTACATAAAATTTAAATAAACGAATGAAGGAAGTAGCTTACGTAGTCTATAATTTACTCGATAAAAAAAAAAGCTATCACACTTGGATCAGCTGGTTTTATAAAACTACTAACCATATATAATATATCTGTGTGTATTAGGTGGACACATTAACCCGGCCGTGACGTTTGGGCTATTTCTGGCTAGCAAGGTGTCATTGGTGAGAGCTATATCATACATGGTGGCTCAGTGTCTTGGAGCCACTTGCGGAGTTGGTTTGGTGAAAATCTTCCAGTCGACTTATTACAATCGCTATGGTGGTGGAGCCAATGTCCTCGCCGACGGATACAATGTTGGTGTCGGTGTTGGTGCTGAGATTATCGGCACTTTTGTCCTCGTTTACACCGTCTTCTCTGCTACCGATCCCAAACGGAATGCCCGTGACTCTCACATTCCTGTAAGCAATCCCAACTTTCTCTTTACATGCTATCTCCTTAGCTAGAGTGAAACACTCCAATATATTTGATTTGATATATTTTTCAATTGAGAAGAAACTGTGGTTTCATTTCAGTTGAACAAATTGAAATCATCAGCTTTGATGTTAACTACAAAAATTTAAAACATCTACTAACCTTAAACAAAAGGTAAACACAACTACACAAGTGGATATACAAATAAAGTATTTTTTTGGAAAATAAAAGATCAATGTTTTAATGATATAATAAAAATACCAACTAAATTGATAGTTTTCTTTCTTTTATTCTAATTTCAACAAAACGTAGTGTACTAGTGATGTTAACAGAAAACAAAATTGGAAAGAAAAAAAATCAGGATATAACTTTGATTTCGTTGTCGACAATTTTAGACCAAGGGACGCAACAGAATCTAGTGCCAGCTATATAGAGCACTATTAATACTGAAAAGGATGTCGTCTAGCCATTCTGGTCTAAACGAAAATAATACGGACCAAATAATAAGTGTAGCGTCTAATTTCTTCTATGAGAAAAACGACGAAAGGGGTGTCCAATTATTATTCATTCATTTCTTGTATCTTTCGTTGGTACCAAATGTCCTATCATGATATAACGACATATCATCTTTGTGATTCACGTCTCTTCATCTCATTCACATGTCTTTGTATCTAAATGGTCCACTGTTCGCAACGACCCATGTGTATATAGTTCATACATGCATGTTCCATGATATTTGAACGATCTTAACCTCTCCTTATTTCAAGTATGATTTCATTACATAAACCAAATCTTTCGGTTATGCAACATTGTCCACACTCACTCACTCTCTGTCTACTCTAGCTAGTAATATTTTGTAGCTATAATTCCTTTGAATTAATTCAAATATCTACATCATTGTTACTAACAAACAATTGATTTGTTTTTGTTTGAAATTAATGAACTGAAGGTACTAGCTCCATTGCCAATTGGATTTTCCGTGTTCATGGTTCATTTAGCCACAATCCCAATTACTGGCACCGGAATTAACCCGGCTAGGAGTTTTGGAGCTGCCGTTGTCTACAACAATCAAAAGGCTTGGGATGATCAAGTTCGTATTTTCACCATTCTAATTAATTATTACTCGTTCTTGAGCCTTGATTAATTAGGTTATTGATTAATGAGTTTGTTTCTTGTAATTACAGTGGATCTTCTGGGTCGGTCCATTTGTGGGAGCAGCCATTGCAGCTTTCTACCATCAGTTTGTGTTGAGAGCTGGTGCTATGAAGGCTTATGGGTCAGTCAGGAGCCAGCTTCACGAGCTTCACGCTTAATTAGAGTTTGATTTTTCATACTACCGATGAGGTGAAGAAATTCTTTGTAAGGAAAGGAGGAGAAAAGAGAACCAAATAATAATAAAAAGAAAAATTATTAAAGATGGTCGGTGAGTGACATTTTGTGTCTTATTTGTGGCTTTGAGGGGAAGTTTGAGTGTGACTTATGAACCAATTTGTAACATACAAGCCTGTCGAATGTATGTTTTTATTTAATGTATATGTTATTTATATTTTCTACTTATCAATGCTTCTACATATGTATTTGATGTATCATAATTATAAATTATCTCCTTATTTAAAGTTACTTTCTTCCTTTTAATATATAAGTACCGTTTTAACATTATTCTACATTACCTAAAATACAAATCAAAACTGTCATTAGTTAACTTTAGCTCTATTTGAATCAACGATAAAATCCAGTAAGATTAGCTTCATTTTGGTCAAAATTTCAAATAAAAACTATAAAATAACCAAAAAAAAATTTGATTCTAAAAATTAGACTAAAACGATATTTATTAGAAAACATAGAGGGTATGTTAGAACATGCGAGATGTACAGTGAAATGTGAAAATACCATGTTAAGTTTTTTTCTCTGACAAAAGTATACCATAGTTCGGCAAACAAATAAAGAACACATAAACTAGTTAACGGTCATTCAAAATGCATAGAATTCACATACTTGTCCAGCTAGCGATGCTAACTTTTAAGGGCACGTTAGTATAAAAAGGCTCACCTATTTTTCATTAGTTTACGGTAGATATTGTTAATCTATATTTTTGAATAGCCGAAAACCAATTCATGCCAATTGCCAAGTATAGTATCTGATTCACATACCCTGCAAGCTTCATTGCTTTTAATTAGTTTACGTATGGGCTAATTAGCTGATTGAGCCGCTGGGCTTTGTAACATTATTTAGAGCAAAACCAAAAAATTTCTTAAGCGGCCATGTCTCGTCTTAAAATTTTAAGACTATGTGCATTCGAGGATGATAACCCAATTTTAGTCCAAAAACTTAGGTCTAACTGATTTAAAAAAAAAGAAAAATGCTTATTTTGATGAATCTGTATGCTAAATAGCATACTTAAGAGCATGTACATTAGGGGATCAAGAGGGGTTCATAGCACAGTTTTTGAGACAAAGAGCTTAATTTTGAAGAAACAGTATCATCCCGACGAACTTGAAGAGACGATATCATTCCGAAATAAAGCAGATTGGTCAAAATTATAATTTTTGAATTAAATAAAAAAGAAAATCTAAAATTAAAAAAAAATATTATTATATTTTGGTGAATTCTTTTCTTAGGAGTTCACTGATGTACATGCTCTAACAACCAGTCTCTTAAATGATGTATCAGCAGAAGATTGGTTGTATTGTTGGGATGATAATTGAATTTTGAAAAAGTAATATTATTTTAATTTTAACAACCCAAATATTACTGTTTAGAAATCTAAAAATAATATTATTTTTAATTTTAACAACCCAAAAGCAGTTTTACTAACGGACATGCTCTAAAAGTATAGTTCAAAACTCAAATACACCGTATGTTTTATCTTTGTATCCAAAATGATATTTTGAATAACAAACACAGCCCAAAGTTATTCAAACAAAATTTACACACAGCCCAAGAAAGGTTGTTTATGCACAAAGAAAAATATCTAAAAGCAAAAGGGAAAAAAGAAGATTGAAGAATAGTAGTAGAAAAGCACCATCTCCTTCTTACTCTAGTAGAGAAGTGTAGAACCTCTCCATCGTCTCTCTCTCTCTTTCTCATTCTCCAAAACCCTAAATCTCTCACAAAAGAAATGGCAGCTGCCGCTCCTCCACCGCCACCAACAGCCGCACCAGAGCCAAACATGGTGCCAGAGAGCTCACCGATCGGCCACCCTGTTTTCTCCCGTATCCGCCTCGCCACACCCTCCGATGTCCCTTTCATCCACAAACTCATCCACCAGATGGCCGTCTTCGAGCGCCTCACGCATCTCTTCTCCGCCACAGAGTCCGGTCTCTCCTCCACTCTCTTCACCTCTCGTCCTTTCCAATCCTTCACCGTCTTCCTCCTCGAGATCTCTCGTTCCCCATTTCCCACCTCCTCCTCCTCTCCCGATTTCACTCCTTTCCTCAAAACCCACAACCTCGATCTCCCCATCGATGATCCTGAGAGCTACAACTTCACGCCGGATATGCTAAAAGACGTCGTTGTTGCCGGGTTCGTCTTGTTTTTTCCGAACTACTCGAGCTTTTTGTCTAAGCCTGGTTTCTACATCGAGGATATCTTCGTGAGGGAGCCTTATAGGAGGAAAGGCTTTGGGAGTATGTTGTTGACTGCTGTGGCGAAGCAAGCGGTGAAGATGGGTTATGGGAGAGTGGAATGGGTTGTGCTTGATTGGAATTCGAATGCTATCAAGTTTTATGAGCAGATGGGTGCTCAGATTTTGCAGGAGTGGAGAGTTTGTAGGCTTGCTGGTGATGCGCTTCAAGCTTTTGATAAGGTCAACATCTAAAAAGTTTTGATCTTTTTGCTGGTGAGAGAGTGTCTGTATCGCTTTCTTTTGATAAAGTTTTAAACTTTTTGTTGTTTTCTTTGATCTTCTTGTCATGTAAGTGTTGGAATTGATGATGATGATGATGCTGATGATTCTCTCTTCCACTTGATACTTAATGAGAAAAATAACCCTTTTTGTTGAATGAAACATCTGAAGCGTAAATGTGATTCCTAATCATGTTTGCTTTACCAAAAGTATCAGCTGTGTTTCGTCTCGTTTGAAGAGTTGAATAGATTTGTCACTAGCCGTGACGATGTAAACATTCACTGTAGATGGAAACTACTTTAGTAAGAACCTTGGTCCCTTATACATGCTCATTTAGACAGCTTTGGATAACCACTCCCGTGCTTGTAATGTTTTGCTACGATGGTCGAAACTCACTACTCTTTAAGATGGTTGCAACTATGTAGGACAAGCCTTGTTGCCTCAGTTACTCTTGAGGAGAAGAAACCAAGTTTTGTTGGTCTGTGTCTTGGATAAGATTAGAGCGAGAGCATTAACAAAAACGAGACTTGGACAATACATGAAACCGTTAACTCTGGTATTAACTCTGGTATTACTATTAGAAGACCAAAGTTAACACTTTCAACATTCATATTAACTCTGGTATTACAGTATTATAAGACCACAACAAGGTTTCTTTTTATTCTTTTCAGAATGGGAAATGTAAGATATCAATAGAAGGCTCAACGTTTCAAAACTCCCGCTCATCTGCTTGAGTAAAACGTGTTTAACACAAACATTCATCTATTTTTATTGGTAAAAGAAAACATTCATCTTATTGTCTGGAAATGACAGTATTCCAAGCATGTTGAACATCGAGAAAACAAAAGACCACACATTATTAAGTGGGTTGCAAAATTTGTAGAGGAAACCACTTACACTTCAACGTCTAGCTGTTTTAATAGCTTTAAAGTATCTCTCTTTGATTAAGATTAATTCACTTACGACTTCACTCATCGCCAACCGATTCGTTGGAGATTCTTCACAACACCTAAGTCCCACCTCCAAAACCACTTTCAAGCACTCACGGTTGCTGTGAAGAATTGATGGGTCGGCGATGTCCAATATTCTTTTTGGCAACCCCAACTTGGTGTAGTTGAGGAGTGTAAAGTTTCCACCAAATAACTCATTTGTTGGTCGCTTTCCAGTGAACATTTCCAAAAGAAGAATCCCAAAGCTATACACATCACCATGTATTGATGGTTGTCCTCCTATTCCATATTCTGCAGCATTGTTCACATAAAAAAAAAAAGACTGGAGCATGAAAAAAACATACTAATTTTACTCATTCTCAGTTATATGGATATGTGTGTTAAATTTACCCGGTGCGGCGTAGCCGACAGTTCCCCTGACGCCGGCCGAGCTGAGCTGGTTGAAGAAGGACTCTTGATCGAATTTGAGGAGGAGCCGAGACAGACCAAAGTCGCTTACACATGCAGTTAGATCATCGTCTAGAAGGACGTTGCTTGGCTTAAGATCGCAATGAGCTATAGGTTCATGACAATGAACATGAAGATATTCCAAACCAAAAGCCACGTCTATGGCAATGCTAAGCCTTTCACGAAATGTCAATGCTCTTGAAGGCCTACGAATCTGATTTTCTACTTCCTCCGGGTGCAGCCACTCATCTAGGCTTCCATTAGGCATGAACTTATAGATAAGAGCTCTGAATTCATCTCCTTTGAAATCAATACTGGAACATGCTGTCAATAGTTTCACAAGATTACGATGTCGTATGTCCTTCAACGATAAACATTCCGCCATAAAACTTTTCATTGCTCCACGTTTCTGGAGATTTAGAACCTTCACCGCAACAACTTTGTTCTCCACAGGGAACAATGCTTTAAACACAGTGCCAAAACTGCCTGATCCAATCAAATTGCTTGAAGAGAAGCCATTTGTAGCATTTTGGAGATCTCTATAACTTATCTTCTCATGGAAGGCACCTAAAGTGAAAGAGGAGGTCTGGCTCTTGTTTCTTTTCATGCGCCAGCGTAGAGATATCAAACCAATAATAAACAAAAACACAAGCAAAGCTATGCCTATGCTGACCCCGATCGATATCACAACTTTCTTTAAAAGAGAAAAATGTTTTGGATTTGGCGGTGCTTGCACAATGCATGGCTTTAGTTTTAGTTCCTTAATGCCTCCACATAGATTCTTGTTTCCAAATACTGAAACTATAGTCGCATTCTGAAATATTCCTTGCGTTTGGCAAACTTCCCTCGAAAATGTTGATGGATAGATTGAGATATTGCAATTTGGAAAAATTAGCAAGATATTCAGGTACACTTGCAGAGAGGTTATTGTTTGAAAAATCAACTCTTATGACGCCCATCAATCTTCTTATATCTGGAATAGCCCCATCAAAATAGTTTCCTTGAAGAGAAAGTTCTTCCAACGACAAACAATTTCCCAAAGATTGTGGAAGTTGGCCAGATAATTGATTGTACGCAAAAGATAGTGTAACAAGATTTCCTAAACTCCCTAAATCTTTTGGTAAAGAGCCTGACAAGGAATTACGAGACATGCTTAAGAAAAAAAAGGGCTGGAATTTTCGTAACTTGCTCCGGTATAGTCCCATTAAACTTATTAGATCCAATATGCAAATATACCAAATCTCTACAGTTACCAAGACTCGGTGGAACGTTTCCTTGAAAGCTATTGTTGTACAAATATAGTTGTCCCAACCGGGTCAGGTTTCCAATAGAATAAGGTATCTCTCCTGACATTTTGTTTGAAAACACACTCAATACCTCCAATCCTTTGAGTTTACCAATAAATGTTGGGATTGGTCCTGTCAACAGATTTTGGTCTAACCGAAGTTTTTGTAGGCTTATGAGATTCCCCATGTCATTAGGGATCCTTCCGGAGATGAGGTTTGCTGCGAGGCTTAGATGCAAGAGATTCATGGATAGATTGGCAATAGAGGTGGGTAAGTCACCACTGAGTCTATTCTCACCAATATCAAAATACTCTAGTTGGGTGCAATTAGTCATAACGCCAAGAAACTCAAGGTCTTTAGAAGAAGAGTTACTTCCCAAAGAATTACCCTGAAGTGCAAGAAACTGAAAATTCCGTATTTTCCCAAAGCTCAAAGGAACACTTCCTGTCATACTGTTATACTCTATTGTCAACTCTTGAAGAGTTGAGATATTGGAAAAAGATGCTGGAATGGCTCCCGTGAAATAATTGCGTCCCATATATATCCCTCGAAGGTTTGGTAGGAAACTACCAAGATCAGGTCTTAAGCTACCCGAAAACCCATCACCGAACATGGATACATACTCAAGTGAGGACATATTGTAAATAGCGGACGGAAAACAACCAGACAAGTTGTTTTTAGATAGTGAAAGAGTCTCCAGTTGAGTCCGTTTAGCCATATCATCCGGAATACCACCTTGTATGTTGTTATTTCCAAAGCCGAGGTTTCTTAGGGACGTTAAGTTTCCTAGAGATGCAGGGAGGTTTCCTTGAAGGTTGTTTTCACCAAGTTCTAGAACAACAAGCTTTTTCAATGACCCTATTTCTAAAGGAGCATCTTTTCCAAGATGGTTGGAAGCTAAATCAAGAGTTAACAATCTAGAGCAGTTGAACAGATTGAGTGGAATTCCCCCTCCGAGAGAATTAAAGCTCATGTTCAAGTGTTCAAGTCTAAACAAGTTTCCCACCTCTTTTGGGATCGTTCCACCAAAAGAATTATCCATGAGATTAAGTGATATGAGAAACGAGAGATTACCAATAGATGGCGATATCACCCCGTCTAGTTTTAATCCTCCAAGATCCAAACTAGTAACTCTCTTGTGTTTGCGGCCACATGTAACACCAACCCAATTGCAGAGAGGGATTGAGTTATTCCATGAGGACAAGACAACTCTTTTGCCTTCTGAAACTTTTGATTTGAACTCAAGCAGCGCTCCCTTGTCTGCTTCGTAGGTAAACCCATATGCTTTATGTAACATGAACAAAATATTGAAAACAAGTAAAAGAAATAGCCTCATGCTTCTAATAATATTTGCTGGTGCTTCTCTACATTGCTCGCAGGAAGATCAATATATAAGGGACGAAGCAAATTAAAGCAGGTGTCATTATCTTGTGATGTAAATAAATACAACTTAAAAGAAATTGGCTCACAAGCAAAGACTTTTTCAAAATCATGTGGACAGAGAACCTTCTTGCCATCTAAGTCAAATAGTCAATTGTCAACTAAAAGCCTCTTTAAGCAGTGATTACGACTTTTATATCGTCTAATATAGAACATGAATTTCTATTGTGATAACTCAGGAAATTTTCACACTGACATTCATACTACTGTATAAAACAAAAAGAAAATCAGATAATTTTGCCAGTGAAGATTCCTAGCTAGGGGAAAAATCACTTTGACCTAGAGTATCTTCTCATTTTGAAATACACTAGTATCGTGTTTTAATGCTGAAAATTATTTTATTTGCAATAACAAAGAATAATTTCAAAGAAATCTCTTGTAATTTCAAAATTTTATTTTTTTGTTTTCGCAACAATATCGAGTTTATTCACAATTCAAGTCCATGGACATGTAAGTTCTCCAACGACTACGTGGGGAGCTCATATGCAGTAGCGTCATGCAACCACAACACCAAAAATCTTGTCTGTCTCGACAAATTGTTCTGAAATATCATCACTACAAGAAAACAATCGTTTTCCAACGGTCCATTACGACAGTTATTAAATCGTCGCAAATTTACAATGATTTTACGACGATCTTACGTCTAATTTAAAAACCGTCGTATAAAAAAATCGTCGTAAACTCGACGTACAATTTACGACGAATTACGACGATTATACATCGATAACGAGAGATTTGCTAGTAAATGTAAAATCGTCGTAAATTCGTCGCAAAATTACGACGAATATACGACGACTACATTTCGATGTACATATTACGACGATTGTACGTCGAAAAAGGAGTTAGGTGAAAAACATTTAAAACATGTTTACCTAACAATTGTAGATGAAAAAATTTATCGCAAAATCGTCGTAAACTCGTCGTAATATTATTGTTGAATGTAAAACCGTCGTAAAAATTCGTCGTAAAAGCGTTGTAAAGCCCAAAATTTTCCTATAAATAG